AAACGTCCCCCCCCCCCGATTTTTTAGAATGTCAATTATCTTTGTCTCTTAACAAAGGGATCTTAATTCGTATTAGACTTTTTGCCACTCCAAAAGCGACGCATCTCAAGTTTTTTTCTTCTATTTACAGTTTCATTTCTTGGACCCTTGGTGACGTGCCTGTTCCCAGCCCCGCCCCGCTGCGGCCCCGGGCGCGGCTTCCGGACGGACCGCTCTGCCCGCCGCTGCCCGCGTCAGGGGAGGGTCTGAAACAACGCTCCACGCCTCTTGCCTGTTTCTTTCCTGCTGCTACTGTCCAGTCACCGTGTCTGTGTTTTAGGGGGACGTTCGACACCGTCCCGCGCCGCCCGCAGCTAAGGGCTTCCCCGTGTGAGTCATCAAAGCGTCTCACCGTCTTCCTTCCAGTTTGGCAGCTTTTTGCCTCCGTGTCGTTTCCTTTTCAGTCATTCCTCGGCTGCCGCTTTCCCACGCTGACCTTTAACTGTAATGAGACGTGACGTGACGTGACCCTGAAGGACGCGCACGGGCGAAACACAGCGAGGTCAGGGCGGGGGGCCGGGGGCTGCTGTCTGCCACGCGAAAAGGGTGAGGAGGAACGTGTCGTTTGCACCACAGTTGCATTCATGTAATTTTAAGGCCAATTAAACTAATTTTATTCAGGGTAAGTCTACATTCAATTACAATGTCAACAATCAAGAGAGAACGAACTTGAAGTCTAAGTAGTAGAATCTACCTGGTCTCTGATCGACCACCTGTTACTGAACCCACAAACGAAAATTTACAAATATAGAAATAAGGATGATACTTAAAGAGTGAGGATTTTCATATGGAAACCCACAAGATGTCATATTTTAAACACGCATGTCTCAAAAAGGGAGAATCTTTTAATAATTTAGCACAAAAATCAAATTATATAAACTTGGTATATTCCAGAAAATATTGCTTTCAACACTTACACCATGATCAAAATTCCTTTGGTAGCTTTTAATCAAAATGTAGCCTGCTATTGTGTAAAATATAAAGCGCTTTTAAATGCTCTCAGCAAAGTGTCTGTTGTAGTTGCCACACGAACGTCACCGTCGGCTGCACAGCCTCGGCTGCGTGCACACAGCGTGAAAGCAGGTGCCGCCGAGGTCACCCCTGCTCACAACGTCAAGTCTCCTCCGAAACGTTTACAGTGGTTACAGCAGAGGACAGCCACCCTGCCCAGGGCCGTGAAAACAAAACCAAACTTTATTGTCGCAATCATACAAACACTGCAATTAGAAAAAATCAAACAGCAGTTCCCCAGTGCAGAGAACGGGGCTGCTAGACTCAATCTTAGAACGGCAAACACACACACACTGCCCCCCTCTAAACCCTCAAACAGAAAACCCACAAGGGACGCAGTGGAAGTAAAGTGAAGGCGCTGACGGGCTCGCGGCATCACACGCGGCGGACGTGGTGTCCTCTTGGTGCATCAGAAGTCTCGCCAAGGAGCCCCATCCTGAAAGCCACTCCTCAGAGGTTAACCCTTGTTGAAAGACCTGGAACAGATGCTACTATCCAGGCTGCATAATCGACCAGCCAGCTTTAACAATGACTGTTTCTTCCTAACGTTCACCAGTAAGGGTTCTTGTTTCGGGTCTAAGAGCTTGTGTCCCTGCAGCTACAGAAGGGCAGCACGGAGGGTCTCACACACACACACCGAACATCAGCTTCTGCCACGAGAACACCGCTTACAAAGGAGCCTCTTTTAAGAAACCAGTATCTGCTTGTCCGACCTCAGAGTCACTCTGCAGAGCCACAGAACCATCCAAACGCCTAACAGAACAGGAGGAAGAACTGGAGGGAAGGTACACAAGCCATCTGCAAATCCTTGAGCCTGTGAAGGAGGATCCAAGGACCCCCCCTTTTCTGCTAGTCCCAAAGCAGCCATGCTGCTAAGTACCAGAAAGTCCTGGAAACAGCACAGAAGTGTTTCTGCCCTAAAGATACATTCTAGTGTCTCATGGGAGGAGCCGCCACGAGCCTCAGGCCACGTAGCGGTACTGGTTGGGACTGTCCTGGTCTCTCTCCATGTAGTCTCTGTCTATGAGAGATTCGATTCTCTTTTTCAAATCTCCAGGCTGGAAAAGAAGAACAAAAGCCCCAATTATAGGGGCGTTAAATTTACAACCACAGGGGAATATAAGATACCACGCTCGAAGCACGGGATTACAGTTATGTGCATACACCACATGTCAACACACCCATCTACAAAGAACTGTTTATAATCAGAAGCCAATTATAAAACGCTAGACCAAAACTTCCTGCTTCCAAAGACAATGTTAACGTCATATCGTGAGCAAAGCGCTTCCTTCCGTGTGGCAGGCATCCGAGCAGGGCTGCCCGTCGGGGGTGTGAGGCTGTGAACGGTGAGCACGGCACCGAGGTCGCTGCACACCACAGCCTGGCAGAGCCTGCCTGGGGCGCGTCCTTCCTTTGTGACGACGATGCCCAATGCCGCCTGCCATCACCGTGTGCTACTACACGTGCTCCACGTGGGCAGTGCCCCTGGGAAGGGGACGCACCGGGCACGTCTGCATTTGGAGGCATGTCTGCGCCGTTGCCTCCGAGCCCGCGCAGACCCTCCACCCCAAGTGACCGGCCGACACCAGCACCTGCTGGAGTGGACCTGGCGCTCCTGCAGTCTCTGTTGAACTGCCGGGTCCCTCCTGCACAGGGGCAGGGGCTCCGACCCCGCGGGGTGCAGAGCACGGCGCGGCACAGGACTCCCACGGGCCCATCCAGTGTCCGCCCACTCCCCGGTCCGCCCGGGCTGGGTGACATGGCCTCAGAGAACTTCTACCCAGGAGCACAGGTGGCCCTGGGACGCCTGCCGGAAGGCTTTAGGACACACGGCCTCGGGCAGAGGCAACGTGACAACAGCGGGAGGAGAGAGAGCCGGGCCCTAGCGTCCCTCCCGCGGTGACTGGGGGTCAGCTGGAGCCCCACTCTCACACACACATGGAGATTTCTGTAGCGTGTGACCAGCTATAACGGAGGACAGATGGTCCGATGCTAAAGGTCGTGAGACTTGTATGCGCTTTGCCAAGGGTGCAACGGGTGCTGAGACTTAATCAAGCTGACGCCCACTCACCTTGACGGGAAACTTCAGCTGATTATACAATTCGGAAACGAGCAGGTTGTGGCCCAGCGTCTTTCTCATCTTCATTATCCTGACGATGGCGGCGTCGATCTGGTACTGCCGGTCCTGGAACACGCGCTCTGTGGTGCTGGCCTGCTCTTCAACCTGTGCGGGAGAAGCCGGAGCGAGAGTGTATTTCGGTGCTGATTACCTCCGACTGTGGAGTCTGATGAGAACCTTCTGTTGAAAGAAAGGCCACACTGCGGGTGGATCCTGTTCTGTGCTGCAGTTTTGTTCTAGTCAAACTGTTTAACTTCAGGACCAAAATAAGTAAATTTACAGGAATAGGTACATTAATTAAAAGACTTTTGGTGCCGGCTATGAAACAGATGAACAGAACTTTTAGAACAGAAATGAGAAACTGCCCCATAATATGTGAATCTGATTATAATAAAGGTGACAGTTCCAAGAGGTTATCAGAGAATCAACTCACTTTTTAAAGTAGGGAGGGTGGTTACAATGTTTTCTGATACTAAAATAATTTCTACACTGCCCAGAGAAAGATTTAAATGTATAAACTACTAGAAAAATAGAGGTAAATGTTTAAAATTTGGGTTAGAGGAAGGTCTTTCTTAGGATGACCCCCAAGTCAGAAACTGTGGAAGAAAAGACTCTATTTCCCACTATAGTCATGTGGGAAACGCTCTCAGAACGACAAAATCATGTGCACAAAAGACAAAGGTTAATCTCCTCAATATAAACAGGATACCCACAAGTCAGAGGTGGAATATTACAATAAATGTACCAGTGACTTGAATTCAAGCAGTTAATTAAAAAGAGAAAAATGCAAATGGCAGCCCACGAAGAGCCAGACCAGCATCTACAAGGTGCTTACAGGCGCTCAGCCAAGAGTCTTAAGCAAAAGCATTTTCACTGAATCTCACACCCTGAGACGGTGTTACACTTATTCCAAAAGATGAAGAACTGAGGACTAGAAAGGTGACCTACTTTGTACGAGCTCCTAAATGGCAAAAAGATGCTCAGAGGAACCACAGGAAGAGTCACATTCACATGGCAGTGAACCACTTCCGTGCCTGGGAACGGGGCGGGCAAAGGCAGGGGGCAGAGGTCAGGACCCCGTGAGCCAGAGACTGGAACCTGGCTGAGGGGTCAAGTCAACAAAGTTCACGTTCTCTGACCCAACGATTCCACGGCAAGGAGTTTATACTCAAGAAACAGCCCAGCCAGGGAAACAGGAGTGTTTTGTACAGGGTGGTTAGCATAACCCTATCTCCAGGAATGGAAACATCCTGACTGCCTTTCAGCAAGGGCACTGCCAGGCCCTGCAGATGGGCCCCACGGATTCTCGGATTCGAGCCACACAACGGATTACTCTGCACCCTTAAAAACCAAGTCCTGACATGGAAAGAGGCCCAGGGTGAAGAATAGGAACAGCTTACAAAATGGGGCATGTAAATGGCACGTGGAGCGATCCCATTAAGACAAGTTTACACACGTACATCAGAGAAAAAAGCTGCCTGCAAAAAAGCTGCAAATCAAGTGGCAGGAGAGGTCACCTCTGGAAGAAAAGAGGTGACAGACAGGCCCACTTGGGAATTATAACTCCAGAATCTTACACCCTTTAGTCACTCTGGTATAAATTCCTAATAGTAAGAAAGATGGAACACAGGCTATGTGCATTAAACCTTCAACAGATATGTCGAATTACCCACTAAAAACACTGTGCCAATCCAAACATCTCAAAAAATAAAAACATAAAAATTCCCGTTTTCTCATATTCTTGCCAACTCCGGATACTATCAAACTTTTAAACATTTCCCAAATTGATAGCCAAAAAATAGAATATTATTTTAATTTGAATTGAAAAAACTACTGATGAGATTAAATACCTTTCACGTATTTATCGATCTATTTCTTTTGCACGATTTGAACATACTTCCCGACTGGGCAACACCGAGCTCCTCCGGGGAAGGGCAGCAGGCCTCAGACCCGCTGCAGGTGTAGGAGCGTCTGTGATGCCACCTCAGACCTTCAGAGCTGCCTGTGCATCACCTGGACTACCTCCCTCCCCACAAGGCCCTGTCTCGCTCATCCACTCGTACAAGGGGGCGGCTGACACCTGCTCTGTAGATGGGCACCAGGGTGCGTCTGCCCGCCTGGCCCACACGTTGACCACAGCCCTGCGGTGCCAGGGCTTCTGCATCAGGAAGGCCGGAGGGCAGGTCCAGAACCTGCTCCGGACACATGATGCTCGAGAGCCTGATCAAAGCTACAGACGCTCCACCTGTACATGGATCCCAGAGGCGCTGCCGGTGGGTCCATGACTCCCAGGACCCTCACCACTTCCACCCCAGGACCTGCTGGAGGCGAGGCCGAGAGAATGGCTGAGTGCTGTGCAGAAATCAAGAGACAAGTCACCAGGTTTTGGAAATGACGTGCTCTCCACACTAACGGCATGCGGTCTAGGAAGATCTGATTTATCCATCACTTCTGTGAATAGGAACCATAAATGTTAAATGCATTTCTTTCTGATTTTTGCCCCTGTCGTGAGTATAAAGTAATGAAAGTTACGTTAAAATAAGTCCTCTCATAGACATGACATATGTAATTAGACACTTTAGAATACACTCTGGAAGCCTACAGTCGAGAAATTACTCTAAAACTAGTGATTCCCTGGTGAGTGCCGTGTAACGGAAGAGAAAGTGGGTACACGTACGGTTTCCTTCATCTGGATTTGATTGATTTTGATCCGAAACAACTTGTGCTTGAACTCTCCATTGAAGACGAATCTGTCTCCGTCTTCAACCTCCCTCCCTCTGGGACTTTTGATCAGCACGCGCGCCCTCCCGCAGGCCAGGGACTGCAACGTCCTCCGCAGCTCGCTGCCCTCTGAGCGGGAGAAAGCGCACAGGTCAGGACCCCGGGCCGCCGCGATCTCGGGTGCGGCCAGCAGGGCCGCGCCTCCACGTCCTCTTCCCCGGAAGCCGCCCGCGCTGCGCAGGCACGCCTACCTATCCCAGTGGCCATCTTTACGTCCTCAAAGCTGAATCCGTCGCCTTCGTTGAACATGAGGAGCACCAGCGTCTGGAGCAGCGACACCTGCAGCTCCTTCTTCCCCTTGAAGAGAAGGGCAGCTCACGTGGGACGCTGCGTTTGGCCCACAGGCCTCTTTAAGAGGCTTCTCTCTGCTCTCAAACTTTGTGTGCGTGGGGAATGGTAAGAAACTACTGATTGAACACCAAATAAGGAGAAATTAAGTTACGAGTTATACAAGAATAAAATGACTCAGGATTGCACTTAAGTCTCTTCTCCTGAAATACTCTGGACAGAGCACGAGAAGGCACGGTGACGAGGCCGGGCTGGAGGGGAAGCTGGCAGGAGGCGCAGCTGATGCGGCATGAAGAGGACGAGGACACCGCGAACAGGCGCACACGTCACACCTCGCTTGACTGCAGGTCTGCGTGTCTGTCGGCTCCCTTTCCAAGCACCTGCTCCTTCCGTGCCCGTGTCCCATGTCGGTGACTCAGTATCTCAAACCCGCCACCAGAAAAGGATTAGGACTTGCCGAAGGCTCACACGACAGTTAGCGCTTTCTTGGCAAGGAAGTATTTAAGCTAAGGTATACAGTAGCTTCTCAGACGCAGCGCTGCCACACGCGCAAAGCCACGTGACCCGCCTTATCACGGTACTCCCTCCACTGCAGCAGCTGACACAGGCCCCACCTCCTGTCACCCAGCCCCTGCCACGGACACTCGCCACGTGGTCACTGTGGGGAGGGGCACCCCGTGCAAGCGCTTCCTGTGGGCCCAGCCGGGGGTGTGGACAGTAAGGGGACCATGGGATTTAACTCTCACGACACCTTAAAGAACCGTATGTGAGGACTTCCCTGGTGGCGCAGTGGTTAAGAATCCGCCTGCCAATGCAGGGGACACGGGTTCGAGCCCTGGCCTGGGAAGATCCCACATGCCACGGGGCAACTAAGCCGGGGCGCCACAACTACTGAGCCTGCGCTCTAGAGCCCGCAAGCCACAACTACTGAGCCAACGAGCCAGAACTACTGAAGCCCGCATGCCCAGAGCCCGTGCTGCGCGAGAAGCCACCGCGATGAGAAGCCCACGCACCGCAACGAAGAGTAGCCCCCGCTCGCCGCAACTAGAGAAAGCCCGCGCGCAGCAACGAAGACCCAACGCAGCCAAAAAAGAAACAAATAAATCAATTTATTAAAAAAAAAAGAAAAAACAAGAACTATATGTAGCGTGTGTGGTTTTGTGTATATAGCCTTGTACAATAACACACAATGAAATATGTACAGATAATTTATGTGCAATTGTATATATAATTTATATGAAGATGCATAGTTAACATAGTACAATTGCAAAACAGTAACTAATTTTTTGGCTCAGTATATACGTAATTGAATTTTGTTTACAAAATTGAAGTTAAGTTTGAATATGGACTGTTTTGTGATATGTTTCTTTCATTTATCAATACACTGTATGCATTTTCTCTTCCTAAATTATCACTTTTAATAACAGCACTGAAACAAATATTCTTATTCATTAATCTGTGAAAATGTTTTATTAAGATGAATTCCCAGAGTTGGAACTACTTGCAACAAAGTCCGTGATTTCAGGTTCTGAGATGCAGCACCACACTGCCCTCTGCAGGGCTCACGGGCTCCTTCCAGCAGTGGGTGAGGCTGCTGCTCTTTTAGTTTTAGCCTCTATCAGTTTCCTAGTCAGAGTGGCATTTTATTGTTTTTAACCTGTAATCCTTTGACTGGCAGAGAAGTGGGCACGTTTTCACATATAGCGCTGTTTCAGTCTCACTTTTATAAACTGCCTCTTCACAGCCTTAACTTTTTTTTTTTTTTTTTTGTGGTACGCGGGCCTCTCACTGCTGTGGCCTCTCCCGTTGCGGAGCACAGGCTCCGGACGCGCAGGCTCAGCGGCCATGGCTCACGGGCCCAGCCGCTCCGCGGCACGTGGGATCTTCCCGGACCGGGGCGCGAACCCGTGTCCCCTGCATCGGCAGGCGGACTCAACCACTGCGCCACCAGGGAAGTGCAGCTCTATTTTTAATTAGGTAAATGCTTTCCTATTCTAATTAATTTTGATTGATTAGAATAGTAATCCTTCGACTGTTTCATTTTATTGACCTTTGAAAAGCCAGTGTTGAGTTATATTGAATAATCACTTCCTTTCTTTGCTACCAAAGTTCAATCACAATCAAAAAACATTCTATTAACATACTTAAGAAAAATAAAAAGTGGAGGAGACACAGGACTTACCTCTTTAAACTCTGCTTTCAACACGGCGTGACCCAGTGTAGTTTGCCATTGAAGCTTTCGACCGCTGTGCTTTCCAAGATAAAATGTCTTGAATACTTCCTGAAGTTTAATCATCTGTCAAGCCAAGAAAACAACGAATTTCATTATGCTAAACACCTTTAACCTGAAGAACCACATACTGTGCAGCAGATCTCGGCTGAATGAAAAGTCAGTTCTGTGTTTTGACAGCTGCCACCACCTGCTCGGGCCCTGAGGCTGCCGTGATTTCAATGGTACTTTCTGGGAGGGCTCCTGACTCTGTCCAGGACGTGAGGCTGGGCCCTCCCTCCTGAGGCCCCATGGGCTTCCTCGGCCCCTCCCGCCGCCTCTGTGCCCAGGAGCGCCACCCCTCCCGACAGCTTCCCTCTGCCGCCTCCCCTGCCCCCGGGCTCCCGAGACCCTCATCACGAGGATTCCTGTCTTCAACTGGAGGCCACACCTTCTGGGTCTTTTCGGGTTTGTCTTCTCGCCCTGGAGCCCCAGGGCCTGCACTCCACTCGGCCCCGGCAGTGTCACGAGCCGAGGCCCAGGTCCTAGGAGCGGGTTCAGTTCTCCCCTGGGCCCGGCCCCCCCACAACTCCACGGCACGCACCTCCTCTTCCCACCCCTCTGCCAGGTCCTGAGCTGCTCCGCCGGCACTGTCACCAGCCCTCTGGACGGGGTGCTAAGGGAGCGGGGCCTGGGCTGCCTCTGTGCTACTGCAAAGCAGGTGCCGAAGCATGAGGGCCTGGGCCCTCTGTCGGGAAGGCCTGCCAGCCTCGCAGCTGCCTGGCACCTCCTCTTCATGCTTCCAAACTCAGCTCCAAGTCACCCCACGGGCCCATGACCCATCTTCAATACATCAAGTCCCAGGCACGATGTCACTTCATGTCTAAGTATTTCAGAACACAGCTAACAGACAGGACTCTTCTAGAAAACGGGTCTACTGTACCATCTCACACCTAAAAAAAAGTCAGTGTGATAAACCTTCCAATGCAGACCTCTCCTAAAATTATTTCCTGGAGATTAATTCCCAGGAGTGGAAATAATAGTAATGATTATAATAAGGTAGCAGCAGCTGACACTGGGTGCTTACTAGCTAGTTACTGTCCTAGGCTCAACAAAGATCAAAGACCTAAATATGAGTTAAAACTACAAAGCTCTTAGAAAAAAACATAGGCACGAATTTTCGCGACCTTGGATTTGGCAATAGTTTTTTAGATACGACCAAAAGTACAAGTAACAACAGAAAAAAATGGATTAAGTGGACTTCATCAAAATTAAAAACTTTTATGCAGAGGACACTATCAAGAAAATAAAAAGACAACTCACAGAAGATATCTGCAAGTCACATGTCTGATAAGGATCTAATGTCTGGAACACAGAAAGAACTCTCACCACTTAACAGACAGAAAACACAATTAAAAAATGGGCAGACAACTGAATAAATAAATGTAATAGAATTAATAGATAAGTAATAAACCTTTTGAATTAAAAAACAAAAAATGGGCAGAGGACTTGAATAGACAATTCTCCAAAGAAGGTCTACAAATAGCCAATAAGCACATGAAAAGATGCTCCACATCATCAGTCAACATGCAAAAGCAAGTCTAACCAAAATGAGACACTGATTCATACCAAGATGGCTATATCATAAAAAATGAAAAATAATAAATGTTGGTGAGGAGGTGTGGAAATTGGAACCCCTGTGAGTTGCTGATGGGAACGTAAAATGGCGTAGGTGCTATGAAAAATGGTAGTTCGTCAAAAAAGTTGAACAATTATCACATGAACCAGCAATTCTACTCCTAGGGATAGACCCCAAAAAGCCGACAACGGGTAATCAAACACGGCACACTCATGTTCACAGCATCATCATTCACGACAGTCAGAAGGTGGAAATAGCCCACATGCCCATCGATGGATGGATAAACGAACGTGGTCCATGTACCCGATGGAGTGTGAGTCAGCCTTAAATAGGTATGAAGATGCCACATGCGACGGCGTGGATGAACCCTGAGGACATGATGCTTAGTGAGAGAAGCCCAACCGAAAAGGCCACACAATGTATGATCTCATTTATAGCAAACGTCTAGAACAAGTAGATCCAGAACAAGTAGATCAGTGGTTGCCTAGGTCTGGGGCGGAGAGAGAGGGAGGAGTGAGGAGGGAGGGGAGAGGGGAGAGGGGAGGGGTGTGTGTGTGTGTGTGTGTGTGTGTGTGTGTGTGTGTGTGTGTGTGTGTGTGTGTGTGTGTGTGTGTGTGTGTGTGTGTGTGTGTGTGTGTGTGTGTGTGTGTGTGTGTGTGTGTGTGTGTGTGTGTGTGTGTGTGTAGTGGGGATGGGGGGATGGGAGGAACTGCATTGGGTCAGGGCTTCTGTTTGGGATGATGGAAGAGTTCTGAACTTTCCGTAACTTAATGCCACTGAGCTGTACACAAAACTGTAGGTGTATTTTACCAAGTACGAGTATTTGGTAAGCCCCAAACACCTTTTGCTAGAAGACCAAGGTTCTCAAGAGTGCAGGGGTCCGTGCTGAAGCACAGGAGCTAGAAGAGCCCCCGCAAGCCAAAGGTGGGGCAACCTCGGCATCAAATAGGTAAGAATCCAGGAGTGCACACTGACAGAGATGGAGGAAAAATAAGTCAATTCGTGGGGCAGAGGGGAAGGCTCGTCCTTGGAAGAGGATGCCAACTTCTAAACAGAGAGAAATGGGAGATGGGACGGGATCACTGCTCGTAGGTGAGCATGGACCCGGGCAAGTGAGTCTGATGGGGATTAAGAGGTTCACATCATCCTCAAATTCTCCCCACAAGTTACTTGATAACTACAAACCAGCTGACATCTTAACCAGGTGAGCACAGGTATCATCATCACCAGGGGCAAAGGAACAGCGTGCGGCCCTGGCCCAGGGACCGAGAAGACTGTGGCGGGACCTGCACGGCCGGCGTCTAACCTGCCAGCAAGCCGGGAGACTGTGAGAGCCGCCTGCAGTTCCAAAAGGGCTGCGTCGTGAGGGAGAAGGAAGGGGGTGCTGCTGCCCCCGCTGAAGGGGACTGCAGACACAGTCGCGGGCGACGTGGGGGCCTGGGCTGGGCCTGGCAACCAGAGAAAACGCCACGCGGGACGTGGCTGGGACACTGACAAAATCGGAATACGGCGACACGCAGGATGGGGGCGGCACATCCACGTCAACTCTCTGCGCTTGGCAGTGTCCTCTGGTTCTATTCCCAGGAAATCCCCTCTAATGTACTGTGGTTAAAGGACATGATGCAACCTACTCTCAAGTGGATCAGGAAACAACGCACATTATGGGGAGTGTGACGGGCACGCCTGGCGGCGCTAGGGAGTGGTGGAGGGTACTGGGAACTCTGAACCATTCTTGCAAATTCCTCTAAGCCTGAATTGTTTGGCGGTTTTTTTTTTTTGAATTTTATTTTATTTTTATACAGCAGGTTCTTATTAGTTATCCATTTCATACACATCAGTGTATACATGTCAATCCCAATCTCCCAGTTCATCCACCACCACCCCAACCCCCCGCCACTTTCCCCCTTGGTGTCCATACGTTTGTTCTCTGCATCTGTCTACTTCTGCCCTGCAAACTGGTTCATCTGCACCATTCTTCTAGGTTCCACATACACGCGTTAATATACGATATTTGTTTTTCTCTTACTTCAGTCTGCATGACAGTCTCTAGAGCCATCCATGTCTCTACAAATGACCCAATTTTGTTCCTTTTTATGGCTGAGTAATATTTCATTGCATACGTGTACCGCATCTTCTTTATCCATTCGTCTGTCGATGGGCATTTAGGTTGCTTCCATGTCCTGGCTATTGTAAATAGTGCTGCAATGAACATTGGGGTGCATGTGCCTTTTTGAATTATGGTTTTCTCTGGGTATATGCCCAGTAGTGGAATTGCTGGGTCATACAGTAGTTCTGTTTTTAGTTTTTTAAGGAAACTCCATACTGTTCTCCATAGTGACTGTATTGATTTACATTCCCACCAACAGTGCAAGAGGGTTCCCTTTTCTCCACACCCTCTCCAGCATTTGTTGTTTGTAGATTTTCTGATGATGCCCATTCTAACTGGTGTGAGGTGATATCTCGTTTTTTTTTTGTTGTTTTTTTTTTGCGGTACACGGGCCTCTCACTGTTGTGGCCTCTCCCGTTGCGGAGCATAGGCTCCGGACGCGCAGGCTCAGCGACCATGGCTCACAGGCCCAGCTGCTCCGTGGCATGTGGGATCTTCCCGGACTGGGGCACGAACCCATGTCCCCTGCATCGGCAGGCGGACTCACAACCACTGCGCCACCAGGGAAGCCCCTCATTGTAGTTTTGATTTGCACTTCTCTAATGATTAGTGATGTTAGGCAGCTTTTCATGTGCCTCTTGGCCATCTGTGTGTCTTCTTTGGAGAAATGTCTATTTAGGTCTTCTGCCCATTTTTGGATTGGGTTGTTCGTTTTTTTAATATTGAGCTGCATGAGCTGTTTATATATTTTGGAGATTAATCCTTTGTCCGTTGATTCGCTTGCAAATATTTTCTCCCATTCTGAGGGTTGTCTTTTCGTCTTATTTATAGTTTCCTTTGCTTTGCAAAAGCTTTTAAGTTTCCTTAGGTCCCATTTGTTTATTCTTGTTTTTATTTCCATTACTCTAGGAGGTGGATCAAAAAAGATCTTGCTGTGATTTATGTCAAAGAGTGTTCTTCCTATGTTTTCTTCTAAGAGTTCTCTAGTGCCTGGTCTTACATTTAGGTCTCTAATCCATTTTGAGTTTACTTTCGTGTATAGTGTTAGGGAGTGTTCTAATTTCATTCTTTCACATGTAGCTGTCTAGTTTTCCCAGCACCACTTATTGAAGAGACTGTCTTTTCTCCATTTTATATCCTTGCCTCCTTTTGTCATAAATTAGTTGACCATAGGCGCATGGGTTTCTCTCTGGGCTTTCTATCCTGTTCCATTGATCTATATTTGTTATTGTGCCAGCACCATATTGTCTTGATTATCTTTTCTCCATTGTATATCCTTGCCTCCTTTAGTCATAGATTAGTTGACCATAGGTGCGTGGGTTTATCTCTGGGCTTTCTATC